TTGGGGGGGGGGGGGTAAATATCCAGTAGTGTGATTCTTGGATCATAACGTTCTATTTTTAGTTTTTTGAGGAACCTCCATATTGTTCTGCACAGCCAAATTGGCTGCACCAATTTGCATTCCCACCAACAGTGCAAGAGTGTTCCGTTTTCTCCACATCCTTGCCAACACTTGTTGTTTCTTGTATTGTTGAATTTAGCCATTCTGACAGCTGTGAGGTGATAGTTCATTGTAGTTTTGATTTGCATTTCCCTGATGATAAGTGATGTTGAGTATCTTTTCATGTGTCTCCTGGCCATCTGTAACATCTTCTTGGGAGAAACAGCTGTTTATGTCTTCTGCCCATTTTTAATTGGATAATTTGGTTTTGGGGTACTGAGTTTATCAGTTCTTTATATATTTTGTATTTTAACCCTTTATAGGATATGTCATTTGTAAATATCTTCTCCTGTTCAGTAGGTTGCCTTTTAGTTTTATTGAGTGCTTCCTGCACTGGGCAGAAACTTTTTACTTTAATGTGGTCCCAACAGTTTATAGGTACTTTACACAATTTCATTTAATTCTTACAACTCCTAGGAGGCAGGTTCTATGCACATATTTTACAGAAAAGAAATCTGAAATTCAGATATATCTGAAACGAGTACAAGATCACATTGGTAGTAAATGAAGGAACCAGAAATGGATCCCAGAATGTCTGATGCCAAAGTCAAGCTCCTGACCTACTGTGCTATAATGACTCCACCAAGTGGCCAAATCAAACAACCCCTGTTTTAGACTCGTGGAAAGTCTAGACGATGTTCTGCTTACTACGTTCTAACATATACATGCACATGTACTTCCTCATTGGTGACCCAATTCTGATACTGTTGGCCAAATCCTTCATGGGAAGCTGAACCCCTACCCTGCCTCTGAAAGCAGCCATTGATTAATTTAGGCCGATGGTTGTCACTGGCAGCAGTAATTTCCTCTAGAGGTTTACTTAGACATTTGTGAAAGTGTCTTAGATTGTCACAATGATTGAGGGGCACCATTGACACACAGTGGGTGAAAGTCTGTAATGCTCAGGACAGAAGAACTGTCCCCTGTCCCTCATGATTCTTGAATATCTCTTCAGACATTCATGTAAAGTACCTTCTTGTAATGACCTGAACTTCAAACCTAATTCCAACTTATATATGAACCCAAATATTGGAAATATATTGCATTTCTCAATACACACTGAATTTTTCATAAATACAGCTATTTTATAAATCAACAGAAGACTGCCCTTTCTTTTGTTTGTAACTTTACCAAAAGTCGTTCAGTTTCAGAAACCGACATCACCACAGGCAGTACTACTCAAGGTGTTTGAGCAGCTGAAACAATACCTGTACATCAAACTTGATTTGCAGCTATTACACACAGGGTGATTCCATGCCTGGAGTAAACAGTTAAATATGTATGACTCTTAGTGCAGCTATGACTGACAACTTATATACTGTAATATGTATTACTTTATTACAGATTACTTTCCTTTTATTTCTCAATATTTCACTTAAGGCATCATATGGATTTTTTTAATTGAGTATGTAAGTATACTACATTTTCTATGACTTGCATTGTAGATGGTAAAGGGGAAAACAAAATATCTGTTATAAAAAGGGGCTTCAGGTATGACAGAGGTGAGAACTACTGGTCTAAGACCAAACATGTATATTCCTCTCGCCAGCCACTGGGTTAGGAAGTCACATATGCTGCAATCTGACTAGAAATGTGAAGGCATGTCTTCTAGGGGACATCTTGAGAAGTTCTGCTCATCCTTATCAGAGGGACACACAGAAACCCTCTGTCTTCTGGCCTTTGGAAATGGTTGGATTCAGTCAATAATAAACTTTTTATCCAAATCTTAACATGGATGGAACACATTTAGGAGTTCAATACAGCTCACATTCTAAAGTAAACAACTAATAAAAAACAAAAGGAAAAGCCAAGGAACCTCTAAACACTGAGCAACATCATAAGCAATTGTTTTTTGAAAATCCATTGAAGAGTGGACACGTTTTTTGCTTTGGGTACTTTAACATTTATAAGCAGCTCTTTCATATACTACCTCCACTGGAGTCCTGGTTAGTCCAAGACCTAAGTCCTCAGAGATCACAAATGCGGTAGCCACCCAAGAAGTGATAGAATCAGGCACGGTAACTTCAAAGTCTTGGTAAATCTTGGAACTAAAGTCAAGATAAAAATAAAAATCACAACCCCGAGAACTGACACATTTCCAAAAAAGTCAACATAACCTAAACCATTTTTGGAAGAGTTTTAGTTTTCCAAATTGCTTGCCTATCTAAATTTTTTTGAGTGAGCATGAAACAGCAGATCCCAAATTCTCAAGGACCAGGTCATTTAATAAGGCCATAACACTGCATCCTGACTCGTATTCCATTAAAAGCTTTCAACAATGTTTACACTTTCAGAATGACCATGATTTTCATAAATGTACAGATAATAAATACATGTTTTCAAATTTAACTTGATTTATTTCTGTCAATTTACATGAAAGTTTCCCTCCGTATCCTGGTCATGTATTTGTGTGTGTGTGTTTTGAGCTTTGACTTGTGTCTTATTTCAAGTTTCCATACATGGTTGACTATAAAATATATGCATATTTCATGATTCATCTGCTCAGTCATCAGACCAGATAGCACAGGGTTTGTCAACTAAGCTGAGTCCCTCCACCACCTGTGCTGCTTCTCCCTGTGGCTCACGGGGATGTTTTACAAGGAGCTACAAGGCAGAGAGAGTAATCGTCAGTACTTTCACCCCAAGGTAACAAGTGTACTCTCAGCAATTTTCTCAAACAAGAACCATGAGACTTCAAGGCAGTTCAAAACACCCTTCGTTAGAAGAAGGTCTATCTTCTCCTTAATGATACTCTTACTGCCCAATTTGCATGTGGCTTTATTATACACTACATTTAAATACACTAAATATCGTTCTAAGATAAAAAAAACCTCTTGGTCTATTTAGCTTTAACCACAATATGTTTGCACTTAAACATTAGAAAGAACACAAAACTTGTTTAAAAATAACACTAAACAAAATATATATAAGCAAAGAACATGATAAATCTTTACCCCATGTTGGTGTCTAGCCAAATCCAAGTCTCTGGAAAATGCTTTCTGACACGTGGATCGCTAACCGAAGAGAAGTCATGGAAATCTACCAAGTATCCTTCATTTTCCTCCACAAACCTCTCCGCAAGTTCTACGCTGTCATCTAAAAATCAACATTGGCAACTGTTAGGAAAAAAGTCCCTGTAGAGAATGATTATAAACTCAGTCCATGGAATTGCAGCACCTCTCAGCTGAATGGGACTTTAGAGCTCATCTTATCCAACCTTCTCGTTTTACAGATGAGACACCTGAGACCCACAGAAGTCAAGTGACTTACCCAAGGCCCTGTGGCCAGTTACGGCAGCGCCAAAACTTAAAAAAAAAAAGTTTCCTGCCCATATGGCCAACACCTAAAAAACTACTTACAGTGCAGTTGCTAAAAAATAAGTTAAATCACATTTTTAAAGTTACCTTCAATTTTTCTATTCTTTTTAGCTCCCTAGTGCCAGTTACCAATGGCTATCCCAGCCATAAGATACCACAATCATCCTGTTTACTAACTTAAAAACAGCCATGTTGCCATACAAACTCTGGGTTACCTACTTCTATTTTTTCAACTTTTCTATAAGTCTATAATTATTTCAAAATAAAATGTAAAAAAAAAACAGACTACAGTCAGTACCAGGGATACAAAGATGAATGCAGGGAGCTTCTTCACTCACAGTCTATTGGAGGAGACAAATAGAAAACTGTAGTAAACATGTTAAGAGTGACACAGACAGGGGCGCCTGGGTGGCGCAGTCGGTTAAGCGTCCGACTTCAGCCAGGTCACGATCTCGCGGTCCGTCAGTTGGAGCCCCGCGTCGGGCTCTGGGCTGATGGCTCAGAGCCTGGAGCCTGTTTCCGATTCTGTGTCTCCCTCTCTCTCTGCCCCTCCCCCGTTCATGCTCTGTCTCTCTCTGTCCCAAAAATAAATAAACGTTGAAAAAAAAAAATTTAAAAGAGTGACACAGACATATAAAAAATGCCTATTGTGCACAATAATGGCTGATTTTATCCAAAATCTGAATGATGAAAATAGTGTGGCTAGGGGAAAAAAATTCATTTTGCAGGGGTTTTGGGGTTTTTTTATTCTGTTTTCTTTAAGTCTCCAGTTAAAGAGTACCCCACATGGGAAAGGGACACAGGACAGGTAAGCTAAGTACAAAGGCATGTCCCGAATATGACAGTGAGTATTAGGTAAGAGGGGCGTAAAATGAGAAGAGAAAGAATGGCTAAATCCAGATATTAAATATCCAATCTCCCATGCTGAAACTTAGATTGATCCTTTAAGCAATCTTGACCTATTGAAGGTTTTAGAATAAATTAGAAACATGATCCAGCCCACAGCTCATGTTTTATAATGATAACTCTGGCATCAGTGTGAACAATGGTTTAGAGCTGGAGGAAATAAAAGGTGGGCAAAGCAGGTAAGTTAGGAAGTTATTACAACAGTCAACGAGACACTGACAAGGGCCTGAAGCAAGGAGAGGAGAGGAAGAATAGTCTCAAGAGATGATTCTGCCCTGCCTCTTGGGTGGATGACTTCTGTGTATGCCCATGGCATGCTGACTCCCCCCACCCCAGTCCTCAGCACACTCTTCTATATATTGTTTTGCCCCACTAGACCCAGTTGAAATCTCATTGCCTCGTACATACTAGGCATGCAATTAATATCATCACTATCCATTAAATAATGAATGAACGAACTGGATCTGAGGAATAAAATAGTAGGTAATTGCAGACTTATAAGTGCTAAACATGTGTCATACAATTTAAATGTTTTTGAATTTAACATCATAATACCCCTGTAATACCAATAATATTATTAGCACTATATTTCAATTGGAGATTTGAGGTTTAGAAAGGTTAATTGACTTTCTCAGTGTCAAAACACCAGAACTTAAAGGCAGAAGTATTTGATGGCAATCCTTTTCTTAACTACCATGTTATTCCACATCTGACAGAGAGGAAGGAACTAAGGACGTGTTGTGGGTTTCTGATTTAGGCATCTAGGTAAATGATGATTTCATTAACATAGGTCTGAAATTATATCAATTCAAGGAATCACATATCAATAAAATTATATTAAGGAAAAGCAAGGCTGTAAAGGAAGAGAAGATCATAAACTTGGCTTGTGACATACTGAATTTAAGGTATTTGTGGGATGCAGAAACAGAGGGGTAAGATAAACAGTCAAGATGTTCCAGAGTTTGGGTTAATGAAGAAGATGTCAGGGAAGGACAAGGAAGTAGCGAAGAAATGCTACCAAACTGAATAATCATGGTGGTCCAGGCCAAGTACTGGAGGAAAGTGAAAGCAGAAGGAGCCAATAACCCAGAATAACCAGAAGTCAAGACCAAGGAAGATATTTGGTCTCTAGTAAGGACAAAGAAGGCATTCAATAGATTTAAGGGAGTGAGTGAATATCCAAGGTAGAAGGATAGGCATTTGAAATGTTAAAAGTAAAGCAGTGTTCCAGTGATAACGTGACCTTGAGTAACTACTGATGCCATAGTGCTGACTGCAAGATACATCATGTACTTAGGAACCCTGATCCAGAAGAGAAGCAGAAAAATGAATGCCAGTCACTTAAGAAGGTTTCTAGGGACACAGTATGCTAGTAGGAGGATCAAATTTCTTCTGTTAAACAGTGGGGGAAAAAAGGTAGAAGAAAGTTCTTAGGAAACGTAAAGGATACAATAAGTATTACTAACAACAGAATGAGTATTACAGTGGAAATCAGGATTTGATAAGTAAGGATGAAAAAAGATGGGTAAAAGCAGATACCAACAAAGAGAGAATGGAAAAAGATTGCTTAGAAGGTGTCTAGGATGGATTGTTACATGAAGAAAGCTAACCATACCATATTATCTTTAATGAGTAGAAATCATAATGACTTCATAAAATTTTTAATACTATAAAATGTTCTTTTTGCTTCAGGACAGAGGCTCGGGTATCCTGTAGTGTCAAAAATCAGCCCAAAGCTGGAGAGCCTGGGGCTTAGTGTGGAGTAACTGAGAAGACCTGACAGGAATAGGGAATGCGGGGATACAAATTGTGACAGCCTTACAAGATGATATTAGCATAATGTTACCTAAAGGAAAAGAGAACAACTCCTGAAGTTAACCATTCTCATTTCCACACTTCCTTCAGTCAAAACATTTCACTTCTTCCTAAGCACTCTTATTATTAGTTGGGTAGCAACTCTATTTAGCAACACAGGGAACTAGGATGTATAGATGTGACCCTGCTCAGGAAGAACTCAGACTGATGAGACATGCACGTGTGCAGGTGCATGCACTCACGCATGCTCACTGCATGTACCAGCATACTTACGGCATCTGGGTTATATTCTAGGTGAACATGCGTGTGTGTGTGTGTGCACACTGCATATACCAGCATACTTATGGCATCTGGGCTATATGCTAGGTGAACATCAAAATGCCAGAGAACAAAAATGTTTCAAAACTATGTTGTTCCTTTTATCTAATTCCAAAATAACAGCACAGTTTGCAATACAAATTGGAAGCATAGGATCTTCCAATATGCCCCAAAAAATAACCATTTCAAACAACTACAAGGGAGCAAATGGAAATCTAGACAGAAGCCCAGACAAATATTCCATGTCATGGCTCAAATGTACATTAAACTCCAAAGACTTTAGGAAAAGAGAACAGAAAATGAAATCACAATATCCATATCCATTAAACCAGAAAGCATCCATACTTATAAGTAATTTTAAATACCTGAGATGAAAGACTGAAATACTTTGAAAGCACATTGCTAGGTTCTACTTACAAACACCATCAATGTAATCCTTCATAAGGTTTGCATCTGTCAATACCCAGAGGCCACATTCCTAAAAAGAATAATTTAAAAAATTTTTTAAATAAAAGTTTAAATGCTTTGTAAAATGTCACAGCCGTCTTCTATACTCTTAATTCACTCTTGTTCATTTGTTTTTATGCAGACATGAAAGTTTTGTGTTTTTTTGACTCTATCTCATTTTTGAGAATTTAGGTACATACATGAGCATTCTCTCTCTCCCTCTCATACACAGATACAGATACACACACACACACACACACACACACACACACACACACACACATTTTCCATTTGCTTTTAAAATTGGAAGGATGATTATCTTTCCATTTCAAATTATATTTATATAACACTATACTTCAACAACACGTTTAATAAAAGGTTAATCAGATAATTAATTCTGAAGGTGTTTGCAGTAGTAAAAGATATTAATATCTTTCCAAATTATATAATAAGCTAAACATACCTGAAAAACTGCAAAAGAATTCATGAACATGCCTAAATAATACCCTGTGTTATAGAGCTCCAACTCATGGACCACCTAAGGAGAAGATAAAATATGTGGAATGAATTGATTTATATCATACTGTTCTGCCTTCTGTAATATTTCTTGTATGTTACTTAGATAACACACAGCCCACATGCTTATCTAATTTGAAAGTGACACAAATGGAACAATAACAAATATTTGAATGCCTTATTCATGATTCAATCAGCTAAAATTACATTGATTCTTTTAACTTATTTTCACTCTGTTCACTAATCCAGAGTTCCTAAGAAATGTGGGCTTGAGGTTTGCTCAGGAGGAATTTAAATGCCAATTCCTAAACCAACACACAGGGGTCAGCATTGAAAACAATCCATACTTCTGGCAGAAATAAATGGGTTAAATTTGATGGTTAATATAAGTTCTGCAAATGTCACTTAACTACATTTTCTTAAATAACAAAAAGAAATAGTTTACAAAAAAGAAATGTAAATTATTAACAAACAGAAAAAATATTCAACCTCATTGATAAAGCACTGCAAATTATAACATCAATGAGATAGTTTTTTCAATATTGAGATATTTACATAATCACATTAGCAATGTTTTTTTTTTTTTTTTTTT